GGAGGAAAAGGAGAAGAAGAGAAGGAAAAGAAGAAGGAAGAGAAGGAGGAGGAGGAGAAAGAGGAAGAGGAGAAGGAGGAGGAGGGAGGAGGAGGAGGAGGAGGAGAATTGAGGGGTCTTTGGCGCTCTCTGAGCTTGCTGGTTTCCTTGCAGGCGGTTCGTGACCCAACTAGGGAACATCATCAGTGCTAGAAGGGAGGGGGGTTTGCAAGAAGGAGGAGGAGCAGCAGCAGCTAGTTGGGGAATTCTGGGAACTGAAGTCCACAAAAAGTTGCCAAGGTTGGCCACCCCGCTTCTAGAGTCTGCCACATTCCTTGGAAGTCTTTCCAGGTTTCCAAGGAAGGAGAAAGCGAACCCAACCCAAAAGTCAACGGACTTCCTCCCGAGGGCCATCGGAGGTCACCTTCTGCAGCGAACAGATTTCCAGCATCCGGTTTCACTTCCTCCCCCGGGCTGGCAACTTCAGCATCTTTTGTCTAAATAAATCTCCGTGTCTGCAACTTCTGAAAAGGCCCCGAGCTGGTTCTGTTCCGGAACAGCCCGGATGTGAACGGAGGACAAGGTGGGCCCTTGGATCTGCTGAGATGTGAGGGGTCAAACCAGGATGAAGCCCTACCTTGAATTTCCCAGGATCAACTTATTTTTTTTTTTATGGAAAGGAACCTTGTTCATCCCTCCCTCCATTTCAGGTGGGCCATCGAGGGTCAACGTTGATGGCCTTCAAGCCAAGGTCTTCTCTTGGCCTTGACGTTGTGTTGCTTGGTCTTAGGATGGTGGACAGAAGGTGGACCTACTGATCGCTAGGCTTTGAGCCCCAAAGCTGACCATCATCGCCTGGGATTGAAGCCAGAAGCCAACAACATGCTCGGTGGAGGTATGATTTGATTGAGGAGTATCCCGAGCTCCTTCAGAGGTTGGATTCCGGAGCAGCTGTGGCTTCCAGCCGGCCTCCAAGGACTACACCTGTGTGTAGTCACCTCTCAAGTGTAAGGGGTTGTGAGTAGAGTCTCTCCTTCTGGAAGGCTTCGCACAATTGTGAATATAAATCTAAACATTTGGATCATGTTTCTGCAAATAATCACCACACTGACATAAGGGTCTTTTCTGACTGATCATCAGAAGAAACTTCTGGACAGTTAGAACAATTAACCAGTGGGACTACCTGCCTCCAGAAGCGCTGAATGCTCCAACATTGGAAGTTTTTAAGAAGAGGCTGGACAGCCATTTGGTTTCCTGCCTGAGCAGGGGGTTGGACTAGATGACCTCCAAGGTCCCATCTGTTATTCCTTCCTTCCTTCCTTCCTTCCTTCCTTCCTTCCTTCCTTCCTTCCTTCCTTCCTTCCTTCTCCAACACTGGAAGTTTTTAAGAGACTGGACAGCCATTTGTCTGAAATGGGGTAGGGTTTCCTGCCTGAGCAGGGAATTGGACTAGATGACCTCCAAGGTCCCTTCCATCTGTTATTCCTTCCTTCCTTCCTTCCTTCCTTCCTTCCTTCCTTCCTTCCTTCCTTCCTTCCTTCTCCATCACTGGAAGTTTTAAAGAAGAGACTGGACAGCCATTTGTCTGAAATGGGTCAAGGTTTCCTACCTGAGCAGAAGGTTGGAGTAGATGACCTCCAAGGTCCCTTCCATCTGTTATTCTGTATATTTTTCCTTCCTTCCTTCCTTCCTTCCTTCCTTCCTTCCTTCCTTCCTTCCTTCCTTCCTTCCTTCCTTCCTTCCTTCCTTCCTTCCTTCTCCAACACTGGAAGTTTTTAAGGAGAGACTGGACAGCCATTTGTATGAAATGGGATAGGGTTTCCTGCCTGAGCAGGGGGTTGGACTAGATGACCTCCAAGGTCCCTTCCAACTTCTATTCTGTTCTGTTCTGTTCTATTCTATTCTAGCCAAAGGGGAATTACGTGACCGAGTCTGGGGAAGCCGCCGCAACTGTCATAAATACGAGTCAGTGGCCAAGGGTCTGAATTTTGATCACGTGACCGTGGCGATGCGGTGACGGTCGTAAATGTGAAAAAATGGTCATCAGTCCCTTTTTCCAGGGCCGTTGCAAAGAAGTAGTGAGTCCACCGTCCTTAACAGAATTTAAACATGGTTTGGGATGAACGAATGCGACAAAAATTAAAAATAAAATAAAAAATAAAATATTATTCCCACCAATAACAAAATACTTCCAAGGGCAGATTTGACGGGAAAAGAACGTTTTCTATCTTTCCATATATATATTCCCAGGGAACTGGGTTTCATGGATTCAACTGACCTAAAAAAATATTTACACGAGGCTGGCAAGTTACACAAAGACGCCATTTATCCTCCTCAGAACAAAACATAACTGGAATTCTTTTATTTGGCAGCCAGCTGGATTGCTTCAAAAACAGGAAACAAAAAGCAGTTATTTCTGCTTTTCCTTGGCTTATTTCTCCCTCTCTCTCCAATTCTCCACGTTAATTTTTTTTTTTTTTATTAAATGAATAAGAAAACAGCAATCTGGAACTTAACACTTGGCGAAATTGGATGACCGATTTCCAGTTTTGCAGGGTGGCTTTAAAGTAATGCTGACCTGGAAATTGTGAAGATTCCCCGTGCATTTAAAAAATAAATATGAAACGATGGATGATGGTGTAAAATAAATCCTGATTTATCTCTGCAGTTGACAGCCGAAGATCTAGGGTGAAAAGCCAGTGGAGGGTTTTGAAAGTAGAGGAACATCGATGCCATGTGCATATATATATAGAAATATATAAATATAAATATATAAATATATATATATGACACCAATGTTCCTCTCTCCATATACATATATATAGCTCAGGGGGTATGTGGTGTGTGTATGTGTGTGTAGATAGATAGATAGATAGATAGATAGATAGATAGATAGATAGATAGATAGATAGATAGATAAACCCACTAGGGATGACCACAGATGAAGGAGGAAATCAAACAGGTTTTGTGACATCTGACAATCATTTGTAGGAACTGGCTGAAACTTTTTCAGACTGAGGGTCTCACATACAAGTGGGGGAATTCATGGAATGTCCTGTGATCTCCTTAAGGATCATTACGGATTTTGGCTCTGAGTTTGCCCAAGAGGCAAAAATATGGATTAGCTAGGATTCCTGTCTCTTTCTTTCTTACTTTCTTTCTTTCTTTCTTTCTTTCTTTCTTTCTTTCTTTCTTTCTTTCTTTCTTTCTTTCTTTCTTTCTTCTTTCTTTCTCTCTCTTTCTTCCTTCCTTCCCATCTCCTTCCCATCTCCCCCATCTCCTCCTCTCCTTCCTTCCTTCCTTCCTTCCTTCCTTCCTTCCTTCCTTCCTTCCTTCCTTCCTTCCTTCCTTCTCCTCTTCCTCCTCCTGTTCTTCTTCTTCTTCTTCTTCTTCTTCTTCTTCTTCTTTTTCTACTTCTTCTTCTTCTTCCTCCTCCTCCTTTCTTCTTCTTCATCTCCTCCTCCTCCTCCTCCTTTCCACAACCTCCCTCCCTTTTCGCTCTGATGGCGTTACCTAGTTGGGTCGTCAAAAGTCTCCAAGAAAACCACCAAGCTCAGAGAGCACCAAATATTCCCTTCTCTGGACTTTTATGCATTTATTTCATTTCCGCAGCGTCCCGTCTCAAGAATATTGTGCGAGAGGAGAAGAAGGAAAAGTGGCCGCCAGGGATTGTGGCTTGAGTTGGTGCCAATGAGGAAAGACACACACACACACACACACACACACACACACACACACACACCTGCTTCCCTCTTCAAACCCACTTCCTCATTCCTTACCAAGCATGTTAACCAGAGGAAAAGTACGGCTGGAGAAGGAGAAAGCCAAACGTTGAATCTTATAGCGTGTTCTTGTCATGTCGTTAACGGACGTCCGGCGGACGGGATGGGAAAAGGGCGGAAAATTGGAGGACACCCTAGGAAAAAGCGGGCCGATCTCGCCACTTGCGGCCAGTTGCTCTGCTTCGTTTCGAAGGCAAAGAAAAACAAACCAGGATTATAAATCATCATCATCATCATAAAGTTGGAAGGGATCTTGGAGGTCATCTAGTCCAACCCCCCCCCACTCAGGCAGGAAACCCTGTATACCGTTTCAGGCCTTCGGCACACCCTCATTGCGGGTTGCAAACGATCCCGTGTTTGCAATTGAGGGCGCGCCAGTCGCCAGAAAGTCAAGATGGCTCCTTGGCTATCGAAGCCTCTCCGTCAAATGGCGTACTGACGGCCGCCATCTTGACGTTTTTGACCTGGTCCTCTCCACAGGCAGCCTGATTGGAATGAATGTCAGCGCGAAAGGTCTAACTGCAGCAAGGGAATCCAACATGGGCAACTTCAAGGCCTGTGGACTTCAACTCCCAGAATTCCCCAGCCAGCTCTTGGTTGCTGAAGTCAAGATATATTACGTCGACCACATTCCCACCATCTATTACAGGAGTCTTCAAACTTGGCCCTCTTATGACGTGTGGACTTCAACTCCCAGAATTCCTCAGCCAGGCATGCTGGCTGAGGAATTCTGGGAGTTGAAGTCCACATGTCGTAAAAGGGTCCCAGTTCTCTCAGGCTGGCTGAGGAATTCTGGGAGTTGAAGTCCACAAGTCATCAAAGGGTCCTAGTTCCGTCACACTGAGGAATTCTGGGAGTTGAAAGGTCATGAAAGGTCATGAAAGGGTCATAGTTCCCTCATGCTGGCTGAGGAATTCTGAGAGTTGAAGTCCACACGTCGTAAAAGGGTCCCAGTTCCCTCACACTGGCTGAGGAATTCTGGGAGTTGAAGTCCACAAGTCATCAAAGGGTCCCAGTTCCCTCACAGTGGCTGAGGAATTCTGGGAGTTGAAGTCCCCAAGTCGTAAAAGGGTCCTAGTTTCCTCACGCTGGCTGAGGAATTCTGGGAGTTGAAGTCCACGAGTCATCAAGGGAGCCATAGTTCCCTCACGCTGGCTCAGGAATTCTGGGAGTTGAAGTCCACAAGTCATCTAAGGGTCATAGTTCCCTCATGCTGGCTGAGGAATTCTGGGAGTTGAA